TTATGGTTGTAGAAAGCCCTCTTTCTCCCACAGATGTTGCAGTTAATAGCCCAGTGAATAACACACATGCTTTAGACCTAGGCAGAATCAATTCTTGACCATATATACTCCCGTGTAAGCCGAGTTTTTCAGCACATCTTTTTTTTAAATCATTGGGGGCTCGTACAACTCATCACAATCCATACATACATCCATTGTGTCAAGCATATTTGTACATCTGTTGTCATCGTCACTCTCAAAACATTTGCTTTCTACTTTGAGCCTTGGTATTAGATCCTCATTTTCTTGCGCCCCCCTCCCACGAACCCTTGATAATTTATAAATTATTATTATTTTGTCATTTCTTACACTGTCCGACATGTCCCTTCACCCACATTTCTGTTGTCCGTCCCCCAGGGAGGAGATTATGTAGATCCTTGTGATCGGTTCCTCCTTTCTACCCCACCTTCTCTCTACCCTCCCGGTATCACTACTCTTACCACTGCTCCTGAGGGATCATCTGTCCTGGATTCCCTGTGTTTCCAGTTCCTATCTGTACCAGTGTACATCCCCTGGTCTAGCCATATTTGTAAGGTAGAATTGGGATCATGATAGTGGGGACGGGAGGGCAGGGAGGAAGCATTTAAGAACTAGAGGAAAGTTGTATATTTCATTGTTGCTACACTGCACCCTGACTGGCTCACCTCCTCCCCACGACTCTTCTGTAAGGGGATGTCCAGTTGCCTACAAATGGGCTTTGGGTCCCCAATCTGCATTCCCCCTCATTCACAATGGTAGGATTTTTTTGTTTTTTGATGCCTGATAGCTGATCCCTTTGATACCTCTTGATCACACGGGCTGGTGTGCTTCTTCCATGTGGGCTTTGTTGCCTCTGAGCTAGATGGCCACTTGTTTGCCTTTAAGACCCCAGATACTGTATCTTTTGATAGTCGGGCACCATCAGCGTTCTTAACCACATTTGCTTTTGCATGCCTTTATCTTCAGCAATTGTATTGGGAAGGTGAGCATACAATGATATGATTTTTTGTTCTTTGATGCCTGATACCTGATCCCTTTGACACTTCGTGATCACACAGGCTGGTGTCAGCACATTTTTAATATAGTTTTTGTGGTAAAATTAGGTGCTTCAGCCGATACTCAGGTAGGCTTACACTTGAACATATACACAGTATCCTAATTTTGTTTTGTCTATTAAATCGCTGTTGGTATACTTTTATTTGTCTAGGGATGGAAAGGATAGATTCTCTAAATATTTATTTGGCTTATATATTAGAAGGTCAGGAGTTAGAATACTTGAAGTAGATAGTCAGGCCAGGGAATTACTGAAAAGAGAGAAATTACCCTCTAGTGGAAGGAAGCTCAGCTTACAACATAAACTGCATCAGCACCCTAAGGTGATTTGAAATAAAAGTTTGTAAAGGAAGTCTGAAATCTGGGATATGTTTAGGGGAAAGTGCCCCTTCTAATAAGGACTGCGTTCTAATATTATGCAGTCAGTAGCCATCTTATCTAAACCATCAACAACAAGTTCACCAAATTATTTGAGAGATTTCTTTCAGTTATAGTTAAAAGGTTTTCTTGGTTCAGGATCATCATGATGTCTTGATTTAATTTCATCAACCCAGCAATTCACTTTTAAGAACGGAGCTTATATTTTTATGAGTAATTCACCTGTTAACACCGAAGATTTAAAATTAAGATATATTTTTCTGTGCACTACCCCAAATTTTAATTAAATTTCATAAAGTACTAGCATTATTGTTTGTTAAATCTTCTGGTATTTTTGAAAAGGCACTATACTGAGATCTCTAAAATTGTGAAGAGATTACTAACTTGTTTTTCTTTTTAAAAAAAAAACAGTATACATCTAGTATTGTGCCTGATAAAGTTCTAAGCAGTCATTATATGTTTTCTAATGTCACCCATACTCATTTTCAAAGATGACAAAATTGAAGCATCCAGAGGAAAAAGTAACTCTGCCAACGTTCGCACATTTAGTAATTGACCTAGAGTTTAAAACCAGGCAGTCTGACTCCAAACTCCCTGGTTTTTAATCATTCTCATTATGATTATCCAGATAATATAATGACCTTTTAAAATGCTGGGTTTCCCATAAGCTTTGTAAGAATTTATTATGTGATTAATTTGAATTAGTTGCAAGTATCACTAAGAGAGAGAGAGAGAGAGAGTGTGTGTGTGTGTGTGTGTGTGTATGTGTTTAAATAGGACTGCTTTTTAAGAAAATTCCATTTAATCCATATTTTAAGGCAGTCATTAAAGCATCATAGACCTTCATCAAAATATAGCTTATTTGTCCTGGATATAAATTATTGCCATCTAAACTGTTAGAATGCTCTGGAAATTTTAATTTTTAGTACTCTCTGTTTCACTAAATGAACAATTTAAAAAGATATTTGTAATGTTCTTTGCAATAGCAGTTGAATAATTAAAAAGATAAGGGATCTGTTAGGGATGCCGCAGGCATTTATTTATTCATTTTGACAATAATAAGACAAGCTTACTGTGTTCCCAGTCCTGTGGCCACCAAAGTTGCTGAGAAAATAGTTAAAGAATAAACACATCAGGCTCTCTCCACTTCTAATTCCATAGCTCTTTGCCTACAACTAGGTGATAGTAGTTATTAATAACCTCCTGCCATTGTGAGTGCAATATCCCTACAAAACATCCCCACCTGTTTTCAGTTTCCTGGGAACTAGGACTTAGCAAGATTGAGTCCTCCTAGCAAAGGGCCTTTTTTTGGCCTGTGTGCTCAGTGAATGCTTCTGACGGGCTTAAATAAGGGATTTATGCCCAGGTGAATATATTAGAATCTCTCCATCATGAGGGCAAGGATGTCTCTGCTTCTTTTGTTATGTTCAGTGCTACATGTCCAGGAGCCTGGTCTATTTCCTGGAACAAAATAGTCAATAAATGAATCCAAGTATACGACTAAGTCAGAGTTACTACTGTTACGGTTCCAGTTCATATATAGGTTTATTCCAAACAAAACCTGTTTAAGCATCTCTGCAATCAGTAGATAATGCATCAGACAAGTTCCCTTAGTAATGTACTTGCCTTAGTCTTGTTAGGGTACTTTTTAAAAAACAAAATTAAAAAATCCAATCAAAATAATATTTTCCCAAGGGGTCTTCTGCGCTGGTTCAATTTCAGATGGGCATCTTAGAAGGTAACAGTTTGGAGAATTCCAAAAGGATAGTATGGGTAGATTTTCTGGAAGGACACAGGGTGATCAAGAATACTTTATTATAAAGAAGTTTTAAGAAAATTGAAAACTACATTGGTAATAAAAAAAGCTGGGAATGTTGTGCTGAGGAATTGTTTTTCTATCATGACAGTGCAGCTGCTCACTTGCGGGTAGCAAGAATTTTGTTGGGAAGCCTCACCAAGTCCACCCTACAACCCTAATCTTGCCCATTTAGATTTCTTTTTGGTATCCATAGCCAAAGAATGTTTCAAGAAATTCATTTTGAGTCTCTCAGAGATGCCAAAATGACATTTTTGATGTGATGTAAACCAAAGCATGCAGAATTCTTTGGGGAAGGGTTAAAGACATGCAAACACAGACTTCAGAAGGTTATAGACCTTAGAGGACATTGAGAAGCAATAGTGTCACATTTTGGTATTTTTGTTCAATAAAGGTTTCCATAGTTTTGTACATTTTTTGGTACCATATATTTTACTTACCTTTATAAATGAATTTAAACCTGGGGGTTGAATAACAGCAGATGCCTTACTTACTTAGCAAATGTTTCTTGCCACATGTTACCTGAAGCGCATTATTAGTCCCTGGAGATTCAAGGTTTAACCAAAGCATACTGCCCTTGTGCCAGAGGGTCGTGCTCTTCTGCATCTGTAAGCTGGGCTCAGGAACAAGGGATGGATGAGGTCACAGAAGCCAGTGCAGGACATCTTTGCGAAGAGTGACATGGAGTGACAATAGGTTTAGTAGATTTAATGAAGGAGAAGTCTTGTCTTATAGATGAACAGTATCTACATTCTGTGTATTCTTAAGTACTGAAAAATTAATATTGTGGAATTATTTTCTTTAAAACTCCTGTACTTGAGGCAATTTAATTTTTTTTCCCCAATGAAATTATTGCACTGAAAGACTTAAATACTATGGGGGAAATACGTAATATGTCTTTAGATTCTCTGAGGTGGTCTAGAATAAGAGTAGCATTCAACTTGTCTAAGTTTTAGTCCTGGCTTTACCACCTACTAGCCCAATGTGGTGAGCAGCTTTATTTAATTGTTCTGTGCCTCAGTTTCTTCATCTGTAAAATAGGATGATGATCATTCCTATTCCATAGGATTAAATGAGAGACTACCTTACTCATAAGATTAAGTGAGGTAATGAGTTCAAAAAAGAATGTTCTTTGCACTGTGACACACCAAATGCTCTAATTACTTAGTTATTGTTCCTAATCCTGTTCCTCTTATGGCTCAAGTGTTCTCCACCTGGCCTCTCCCAGGACACTTGCATCTGGGGGACAGCTGAGTTGAGAACAAATTACCACGCTGGGTAAAATGATGTCTGCCTGACTGTCTTAATTTTTATTTATTTATTTACTTTTCTTTCCTTCCTGGCTTCCTACCCATTTGTCTAGGGTCAATTCTGGTTGCTTCTTATATATTTATTGAAACACTTAAAAAAAATAAATCACCTTATTGGGGGGCTCTTACAGCTCTTATAATAATCCATACATCAATTGTTGGAAACACATTTGTACATATGTTGCCATCATCATTTTCAAAACATTTTTTCCCCTGATAAATTATAGATTATTATTTTCATATCTTAGACCATCTGCTATCTCCCTTTGCCATTTTTCTGTTATTTGTACACCCAGTGTGTGTGTGGGGGGGGGTAAGGGGAAGGCTTGATTATTTTTTTAAGAAAGTAAATGCAAAGACTTCTTTGTGTTGATTTGCTTGCGATTTTTTTTCCCTGCAGTTCACAAAGTTTGTGTTTGTTTCAGCTGCATGAAAGCGGTTATGATGCTGGCAAAGCCCTGCAGCGCCTAGTGAAGAAGCCCGTCCCCAAGCTGATTGAGAAATGCTGGACTGAGGATGAAGTGGTGAGTGCTGACAGCATTGGTTGAGTGTTATATCATCAGTGTTTAGCCTTCCTGCTATGTGGAGTGAACTGTTTTGATGGTAGGCCATCCACCACACCCATCAGCCAGAGAAAGAGACAGTCTTTGCAACTGTATAGAATTGATTATTCGAGCTCAGTTTCCATAACTAATGGAAAAGTGCCCTTCACATTTCATGGAAAGAGGAGAAATTGATGGTTACTCTTAAAAGTGTGAATTATTACTGGTTTATTTGTTTTGGATACAAGCCAGCTTTTTACACCTCACTAGTGTCCAGACACAAAAATGTTAAAACCAATAGATGCATAGCTTAGAGGACATCTAGGAACTTATTTTTATTTTGAGGGCTCTCAAGACCCCTTAACATACTACTGAAGAATATTCATCAAAACCAGGAAGCAGAGTTTGATTAAACCCAGTGAGTTTTACATACCCATTCTATTGCTCCAACCTATTACAGGAGGTGGGAAGGGAAAAAGAAATATTTTCAAAAATTCATGTTCACACACAGATTCCCATACCAGCACAGTCTTCATAAAGCTACATCTCCATCTTGTGACTCTTAAAAGGCATTGCTGTAAAAGGCTTACAGGTTTTTTTGTTCTCTTACATATGTAGTCTTCAACAGAGAAATCTTACCATTTGGCATTTGCTCTTCAGGTTGAATAAAATGAAAATGAAAACTGGCATTGATTCACATCTTTATTGCAGGTTCCTCACCTACATATTGACATGTATAAGAAGCAATTAGAATTGTCATGTTTTCCTCATCCTGCTTTCTCTCTCTTTATTCAGCACTACTTATTGAGTACCTATTATGGGCTGAGTGATACACTAGGTGCCATATGAGAGCACAAACGCCTTCTGCCTTCTTGTGAGGCTTACACGTTAAGAGGAGACCTTTGCTCGTTCAGTGTGTTAAAGTGGTGGTGGTGGTGAGAAAAGAGTAAGGTAATGAGGCTGGGGCTTAAGTGGGGTTGGGTGGTGTTTTATGTAAAGGGGTTAGGAAAGGCCTCATAAATTATATTTGAGGGGAGACTTTAGCAAAATGTGGAAATGAGCTTTTTAGATACAGACAAAAGGGAGTTCTGGGACTTAGTATGTAGACTGACAAGCTTGCATGTTACCATGTTTCCACAATGCATTTGAATTATGGTGCTGGCAAATATTATTGAAAGTACTTCAGACTGTCAAAAGAACAAAGAAATCTGTTTTGGAAGAAATATAACCAGAATGCCCCTTAGAAGTAAGGATGGTGGTAAGACTTGGTCTCACCTACCTGGGGCATGTTATTAGGAGAGACCAGTCTCTGAAAAGGACATCATGCTTGTGAAAGTAAAGGGGCAGTGAAAAAGAGGAAGTCCCACAAGATGGATTGACGCAGTGGTTGCACCAATAGGCTCAAAACATTAGGAAAATTGCGAGGATGACACAGGATCGGGCTGTGCATCGTTCTGTTGTACGTAGGGCTGCTATGAGTCGGAACTGACTCAATGGTACCTGTCAACAACAACAAGCATATAGGCATGCTTGGCATGGTCAAAATGGCCAGGGATGTGCTTGGAGCTTGGTGAGTAGGGCGAGTGGTAGGAGATGTGAATGGTGGGCAGGGAGGAGGTGGATCAGGTGTGGCTTCCTAGAGACCTGGACAAGACTGCTATTTGCTCATGAGTGACTGAGTAATGAGGGCTGGGAGTGGGGATGGGTAGGTGAGAGGGTTGGAGGAAAGCTAAAGTGGTAGCAGAGATAGACCAAAATGGCATTGAAGGCTTGGCTGTAGCATGCCCCAGTTGAAGAGTCTTTTAAGGCTTTAGGTTGATCATATTTATGATGAAGTTATTGTAGCTGTTTTGAAATAAAACATTTATAATCTTAAACAATTAGTAAAGGGATGAACATGGAATTGAACCTTTTAAAAATTGAGACATTAGCCAGAATAAAAATACGAGGGGTATCCAAAACTGTAGAAATGCTCCTCTGGGCAGAGCTTTCGTAGTATGAATTTTTCCTGCTAGGTGAGCATTGAGCAACTCACTCTGAGTTAGTGCACCCATTGGCATTGCCTGGGGAGGTTCTCTCTGGTTACTGAATTTTTTGTAAAAGCACTTTTGCTCAAACCTCATTTTTTGTGATGGCCGATTTAAGAGAACAAACAGCATGCAGCTATGAAATTTTGTTTCCTGCTCGGGAAAAATGCCACAGAAACTGTTGTGATGTTGAACACAGCTTACACAAATAGCATTATGGGGAGAAACTAGTGTACGAGTGGTTTTCTCATTTCAAGAAAGGTGAAA